GAATTGTAATGACTTGTTTGTTCTGTCTAGTTATTTTCATTTGTAATTTAATTATTTTTAGTATATGTTTACTTGTCCGAGGACCCCTCTGTAAACCACTACTTGTGAAGTTGGTATCCTCATTAAAAATTATGTTCATTCATTCATTCATCACCGGTTCGTGCTGCTGTTCTTTCAACGTAAAGTCTTTTCTACCAATTTTATTCAAAGCAAAGAATAACGCTTCCTGGAGCACTTGTTTATTTTTATTCATTATTAGTGCCCTTTTATAAATAGTGCTAAGATTCGCGAAACTCGTATTCATGCTCGAAGAATAAGTACTGTGATGTTAATTACTATGTAATTCATTCTCGTACACAGAGCTTCGGTCGGACGCGCGTAAGAAGGGCTATGGGTGCGAGAATGGTAATTGAGTATGCGCAGTGTCATCCTCGTCCCCAGGCCAAAGCTCGGGCGGCTCTCACAGGCGCAATGTTTAATCGGATACCATGTTTTTAAAGTATCCGGTTTGGATTTGGCCAAAGCCCCTCGTCGCGCTCGGTCGAACGCGCGTAAGAAGGGCTCTGGGTACGAGAATGGAAACTATAGCAAATCATGTATTTTGTTTTGATCAGTTTCCGGTTTGACGTCACTTCCGGCATTTACAGGCACTCTCGTCCTAGTCTTTTTACACTCACGGTTAAGCAAAAAATCGCCAACTTTGAGCCCCTGAAAGTCCATGAAGATCAAATTTTCGAATTATAAAATATATTGCAAAAAGTTCTTAAAATCATCTAAACTATCTAAATAGGCTAACTCCCAAACAATGACATAGGTACTTTAATTTAATGTCTGTTTCTTTTTAGATTTTAAATGTTAGAAAACTTGTTATTAATGTCTAAACTACCCTTCCAGTGTACTTTTTTGTTTATTTCAATTACCTTAAATAATCAAGTAGCCATGTTTTTGTTTACAAATTGACATTTAAAATCCTCGCCATCTTTTTTGTGCCCACGCATGCGCAGACGTTTTTCCGCGGTGTTGCAACGGCCCTGAATCCTGAGTCGTTATTTTATCACGGCAGCAGCTTCAACGGACTTTAGGGCTATATTTCTCGCGTTTCCTTCGATGAAATTTTTTCTAAGCTTTGCGCATTTTCTAAGCATGACGATTATATAGTAAAACATCAAAATTTCAAGAAATTCTACAAGATGGATTGACCCGCGAACAGGCATACTCTGTGAACGAGATTGATGAATATCTCGAAACCTGCCATAATAATGTTCTTTTAAATTTTAATATGTTATTCCTCTATCAACCTAAGATCTTTAAAAAATTAAGAAAAATTAACCGAAGTGAAAAGATTTAACGAAAAAATTAACAAAAAATTAATTTGAAAAAATTAACCGAAGTGTTGCCGTTTGCTTGTGAAACTAGACAATAAAAGTGCAAAAGATAAAACGTCATGGTTGCCATGGCCACACACATTTTCCTATTTGTATATATATCGACAGCACAACACGTCCGAACTTGATCCAGGAAATGACCATATAAAATTAGTTTAAAAGCGAAGGTTACCTAAAATACTTAAAATTTTAGAGAGCTGTAGGGAGGCCATCTTAACTGAAATTACCAAAACTTAGTCTCGAGCACCTGTATGATGGCATCTGAATATAGCTGTATCGGACAACCACGCTCTATTTAATCAAGTCCAAAAAACCATTCTACAACAATCAACGATTTACCACAATTGCTTTTAACCGGAAAGACGGATGTGGTTTCAATCCAACAAACTTATTTCTATTTTTAGCTATCATAGGCAAACAGTATTTGGCTAGACTGCGCAAGCATTTAGAATGAATGACGAAGGTGAAAAGAAGCAGCAGCTAGAAGAGTACATTAACACTGGACGCTCTAGTCTAAAAAGCGATCAGTTTCAACTGGCAATTGAACAGTTTCAAGAAGCTTTTAAATTGGCTGAGGAACTAAAAGACGAAAAACAAGTAACCAATGTAAATATTAGTTGAGGAAATGCTTATAGATTAAGCATGCAATCACATTAAAAAGGCAGCTCAGCACTATGAAAAAGCCTTGAAAATAGCAAGAGAACGAGGATATAAACGAGAAGAAATAGTAGCACGCTTTGGGTTAGGAAAGGTTCATAGAGGAAACAATCAGATTCCAAAAGCAGTTCAGCACTATGAAAAAGCCTTGGGAATTGCAATAGAACAAGGATATAAACGAGAGGAAACAAAGGCATACCGAGGATTATGAGATGCTTATAGATCAAGCGATCAGATTCAAAAGGCAGTTCAGCACTATGAAAAAGCCTTGGACATTGCAATAGAACGAGAATATAAACAAGAAGAAACAAAAGCATACCTTGAGTTAGGAGATGCTTATATATTAAACAATCAGATTCAAAAGGTAGTTCAGCACTATGAAAAAGCCTTGAAAATTGCAATAGAACAAGAATATAAACGAGAGGAAACAAACGCATACCGAGGGTTAGGAGATGCTTATAAATTAAGCAATCAGATTCAAAAGGCAGTTCACCACTATGAAAAAGCCTTGGAAATTGCAACAGAACAAGGATATAAACGAGAGGAAACAAACGCGTGCCTTGGGTTAGGAGATGCTTATAGATTAAGCAATCAGATTCAAAAGGCAGTTCAGCGCTATGAAAAAGCCTTGGAAATTGCAACAGAACAAGGATATAAACGAGAGGAAACAAAGGCATACCTTGGATTAGGAGATGCTTATAGATTAAGCAATCAGATTCCAACAGCAATTCAGCACTCTGAAAAAGCCTTGAAAATTGCAATAGAACGAGGATACAAATGAGAGGAAACAAACTCATACCTTAGGTTAGGAGATGCTTATAGATTAAGCAATCAGATTCCAACAGCAATTCAGCACTATGAAAAGGCCTTGGTAATTGCAAGAAAACAAGGATATAAAGATTTAGCAAGGAACGTCTTTGAAAAATTGTCAAGACTTAAAGGTAAGCTTAAGGGCATGAAGCCCATTCATGCAGGTTGGTAAGGTTAGAGTTATTTCGAAAGTAAATTTTCTGCACATTAATATAAAATACAATAATTTTCGGTCGAGGACAAAGAAATTAATGGAGAAGCGTTAAGGGGTTAATAGAAATCCCATTGTGTAAAGCCCGAATTTATCAAACAGTCGAAAGCAGCTATACGCATGCATGGGCATGCATCTTGAATTAAAACATTTCATGTTGGACACACATCTGTCAAGTTGTAATCAACTCAAGCAGTCAGAAGGAGACTAATGGAAAGTACAGTAACTGACTTCCCAGGTAACGGGATTGTCAATGTTACTTAAAATACTCATTTTGATTAAGAAGAAATTTCAAAATAAATGAATGTTTAATCAATAACATGAATGTTGTCTTGATCGCAGCCGATCTTTATCTGATATACAAACTCGAGCCGAAGGCGAAATGTTTTAACTAGTGCTAAATATGAGAAATTAGTGTCCAGACCTAAAATGAAAACTAGGTTGTTGGGGAAAAACAATAAATAGAAACTGTTAGAAAGACCAAATTAAAAACACGAGAGAGTTGTAAAATACTTTGAATTAATAATACATTTGGAAGCCTTGAAATGTTTAAATTAGACTTATGCCTGTATTCTAAAAGCTCACTCACAATCACACTCAATGAGTGGAGGTTCAATCTGAGCTTCCCTTGAGTGTCAATGCTGTTTTGAATAGCTGGAGGGCTAGTGTCGTACCTTACTATGTAACTACTTACCCTTCAGCTATCCAAAAACAGCATTGACACTCAAGGGAAGCCGCACTCAGATTGAACATCCACTCATGCATTGAATGTGAGTGAGCTTTTAGAATACAGGCGATAGACTCATGCCATAGTGATATCACATTATTACTTCCTATAATAATTGAAATCTAATAGGAAAAATATAGCAGTTTAGAATACATTTAGCTGCATGATTCTAAGCCCCTTCAGTTTGGCGCCAAATTGACTATAGTTATATTAGATATACAACTTAATAATGGCCGCAGAAAGAGAAATCAGAAAAACTCTGTCATTTTGAAACGTTCTTAAGTTGTTGAGCTGTCTTTTTGCAATTTTACTTCGATGGTCAAAATCGTTGGGAGAAATTCTGGAAGTATACACGCAAAATACAACTGTATTTTTCTAATGTTTCTATTTAGATGCAGTCGATGAAAACTATAATACTAATATTATTGAAATATCTGCTACATCAGACGACGCTCAACTTCAGGATGAAAATGTTGATACTGTGAATCAAACAGACATCGAAAACGAAAGTATTACTGATGACAGAATTGCGTCAGCAGAACAGTTATTGACCATGGGACGTTCTTACCAAAGGGAAGGCCGAAGTGAAGAGGCCATCTGCAAAAGCTACGAAGAAGGGATTCAAATTGCGAATGAAACAGATCACGATAACATCAAATCAAAAACTTATCAACATTTGGGAAATGTATTTACTGGAACGTCTGAATATAAGAAAGCAATCGAGTATTATCAGAAAGCACGTAAAATATCTCCAGACCTCGAGGGAGATGAGATAGAAGTAATAGCATACCAATGGCTAGGTTACAACCACCTGCAAACTGGTCAGTACCAAGAATCCATAGAGTATTACAACGAAGTGATAAAACTTGCTTCACAGCTTGGATGCGAAACGAGAGAGGTCAATGCTAGCATAGGGTTGGGAAGTGCGTTCAGTTATATTGGGGACTTTAAATCCTCAGAAGAGTATTTCTTAAAAGCCATCACAATGGCAAAACAGCTCAGGCACGAAGGTGTTGAAAGAATAGCTCATACAAACCTAGGACATGTACAATACAAGAGTTGTCAGTTTGATGCAGCTATCAAATCTTATCTCAAAACTCAAGAAATTTCTCTTGACCTTGGTGATAGAAAAGAAGAAGCCAACGCCTGTCTCATCCTCGGTGACACCTTTCAACAACTGAAGCAACACCAAAAGGCGCTAAATATTAATAAAGAATTGAAAGATAAAGAAGTGCAAGCGAATGCAGTCCAGAGATTAGGGTCTATTTCTTTCAACATTGGTGAATACGAAGAAGCTCTTAAGTACTCCAAAATTCTTGTGAAATTGATACAAGAACCAGATTATCGTGGAATCAAGCAAGCTCTTGCTCAGAAAAGATTGGGAATGTGTTATGCTTACCTTGGAAGATTCGAAGAAGGTCTAACATGTTTTAAAAAAGGCTTTGAAATTAGTTTGTGATCATTCTGAGAAAGCTGTAGAGGGAATTATTAACGAATGGTGCGGATACTGCTGCCGCTTTATTACTGGTAGAGATCAAGAAGCAATAACATTTTATGAGAAAACGAAAACAATTGCCAAACAAGTTGGAAAGAAATATGAAGAATACCGTTCAAATCAAGCAATTGGAAATATACTAAGTAATACGGGTGATTATTTGAAAGCGAAAGAATATTACGAACAAGCGATGGACATTGCCTTGGAACTAAGCGATAAACATTGTGAAGCAACGTCATGTTTAAATTTGGCATCAGTTTGTAGTAAAGATTATGATTACGACATGGCGATGAAATGGTATGAGAAGGTATTGGATATTCTTGGAGCAGAGCCCAATGATCACCTCTTGTATGAGAAGGCTCTTACTGGCTTGGGAGTTACCCTCGTCAATCTTGGAGATACCAAAAAGGCAATTAAATTGATCCAAGAAGCTCAAACATTTGCAAAGAACAAAAACGACACAGGTCATTAACAATATTTACAAACTCATCAGACCATATTCTTTTGTATTTCGTCGGTTTTTAACTCCCCCGTAATAACCTTCAGTCTAAAAGCAGGCGGTGGTATTTGATTTCTCCGGGGGAAATACGGGGTTGAAGGTTATTACGGAAAAATAATAAC